TTGAAAAAAATCATAATTTGCTGATCATTATGGTCCTGGTAAAATAGAGGTGGCACTCTTGTATGTAAAGTTATAAGATTCATCTGTATGGTGTTAAGGCCTTGTGTACACAGTTTTGTCAGCAAAAGGCAGCTTTTCCCAAGAAAACAGTGGAGGTGTACACACTACAATGCTACTTTTGCAGACAAAACTCTCTTGTTTTGGTGACAAAATAAAACCACCTTGATGAGAGACATAGAGATTTTTGAGCCAAAGTTTTATCAACAAAGTGTCAGTATAGACACCACGCTTGGTTTGGCCATGTAAATAGCCTCCAGGAGGTGTCCCACAATGTCCATCCTGACCGCTCTGGTGAGCAGTTCAGACTCCGCTGCCTTGCCGCCAGGTAAGCAAGCATCCACCCCCTTCCCCCTTTAAAGCCCCATGAATTTTTGACATTCCACTTCCCTTTTTCTCAGCATGGAGAGCTCATATGACATTTTCCCAGCTGACCATGGTGGCTCTGCATGGCAAACACTCTCCCTCTTGGACCACTGTGGAGCTGTTGGATCTTCTGAGTATATGGGGAGAGAAGGCTGTGCAGTCCCAGCGGTGCTCCAGCCGTAGGAACTTCGATACCTATGGGCAGATGTCAAGGTTCCTCCCCCACTCTGAACTCTAGGGTACAGATGTGGGGACCAGCATGAAAACCTCCTAAGCTTACTTTTACCAGCTTAGGTTAAAACTTCCCCAAGGTACAAATTAATTTTATCCTTTGCCCTTGGAATATCCACTGCCACCACCAAACTCTAACTGGGTTTACTGGGTTAGGTACATTTGGACACGTCTTTCCCTCCAAAATCCTCCCAACCCTTGCACCCCACTTCCTGGGAAAGGTTTGGTAAAAATCCTCACCAATTTGCATAGGTGACCCAAATCCTTGGATCTGAGAACAATGAAAAAGCATTCAGTTTTCTTACAAGAAGACTTTTAATAGAAATAGAAGTAAATAGAAGTAAAGGAATCACCTCTGTAAAATCAGGATGGTAGATACCTTACAGGGTAATTAGATTCAAAACATAGAGAATCCCTCTAGGCAAAACCTTAAGTTACAAAAAAGACACACAGACAGGAATTGTCATTCTATTCAGCACAGTTCTTTTCTCAGCCATTTAAAGAAATCATAATCTAACACATATCTAGCTAGATTACTTACTAAAAGTTCTAAGACTCCATTCCTGTTCTATCCCCGGCAAAAACAGCATACTGACAGACACAAACCCTTTGTTTCTCTCCCTCCTCCCAGCTTTTGAAAGTATCTTGTCTCCTCATTGGTCATTTTGGTCAGGTGCCAGCGAGGTTACCTTTAGCTTCTTAACCCTTTACAGGTGAGAGGATTTTTCCTCTGGCCAGGAGGGATTTTAAAGGGGTTTACCCTTCCCTTTATATTTAAGACAGCAGATTTCTCGTGGCTTGTGTGATAAGGGCTACGAACAGGACATGGTGCAGTGCTGAGCGAAGATAAAGAAGCTGAGGCAGGCATACCAGAAGGCAAGGGTCACTGCACCAAAGAATTTTTTTTTTTTTGAAACAGAAAGAAAGTTTATTGGTAACGCTTACAGAATTACCAAAGAAAACAAAACAACTATGCAACAAAACAACGCAATCAGAAGGTATAACACAGCAGCTTTCAGGAGGGAGAAGTGTTCAGGCTAGCCTGGGCCCAGAGCGGGGGGGCTTCCTCGACACTCGTGGTCTTCCACCCCCTCGAGTTACCCAGTGCCGCGCCCAGTGTCACCGATCCTCCCTCTCCTGAGAGTGCCCGGTAAGATGGGCACGGCTGCGGGGTGGGCGGTTTGGGGGGGGGGTAGACACCCATGTATTATAGGACCCCTCCTAGATGACAGGAATGATGGTATCCACAGCGGCAACGGCTGGGGCTGGCGTCTCTCACTCTTCCCCTCAATCAAAGGGTCAGACGGAGGGAACCGGACGGGGTCACCGAGCAGAGAACCCCAGACAGCGCCCACCGCTCCTCGAAGGCATCAAGGGAGTCGGTGGACGCCGCCCAGAGGAACTCCGCCCGGATACGTGAATGTACTGAGGATCGGAAAAAGGCCCCACAATCGCAGGACATTTCATGGGCCAACCTCCTCTCTCTGGTTTTATAAATGGCTGTTTTAGCCAAGGCTAGGAGGAGGTTGACCAGAAGATCCCGCGACTTTGTGGGGCCACGGATGGGAAGTGTATAGATAAAAAGGTGAGGGGAGAAATGAAGCCAGAAGCGTAATAGAATATTTGTGAGGAGCCGGAAAAGGGGCTGCAATCTGGCACACTCTAAATATACGTGCGCCAGGGTTTCCCTCACATTGCAAAAAGGACAAGTGTCCGGAATGGGGGTAAACCGTGTCAGAAACACGCCCGTGCTCGCAGCTCCGTGAAGGAGCCGCCAACTGATGTCCCCGACGGGCCTTGGGACCAAGGTGGAATACAGGCTGGCCCACCGAGGTTGCTCACCCTCCAAAGGTGGCAGGAGGTCCCGCCACTTTGTATCGGGGCAGGACACCAGGGTGTGGGCGTGAAGGGTGTGATCACTGCACCAAAGAATCATAGAATATCAGGGTTGGAAGGGACCTCGGGAGGACATCTAGTCCAACCCCCTGCTCAAAGCGGGACCGATCCCCAATTAAATCATCCCAGCCAGGGCTTTGTCAATCCTGACCTTAAAAACTTCTAAGGAAGGAGATTCCACCACCTCCCTAGGTAACGCATTCCAGTGTTTCACCACCCTCCTAGTGAAAAAGTTTTTCCTAATATCCAACCTAAATCTCCCCCACTGCAACTTGAGACCATTGCTCCTTGTTCTGTCATCTGCTACCACTGAGAACAGTCTAGATCCATCCTTTTTGGAACCCCCTTTCAGGTAGTTGAAAGCAGCTATCAAATCCCCCCTCATTCTTCTCTTCCGCAGACTAAACAATCCCAGTTCCCTCACCTCTCCTCATAAGTCATGTGTTCCAGTCCCCTAATAATTTTTGTTGCCCTCCGCTGGACTCTTTCCAATTTATCCACATCCTTCTTGTAGTGTGGGGCCCAAAACTGGACACAGTACTCCAGATGAGGCCTCACCAGTGTCGAATAGAGGGGAACAATCACGTCCCTCGATCTGCTGGCTATGCCCCTACTTATACATCCCAAAATGCCATTGGCCTTCTTGGCAACAAGGGCACACTGTTGACTCATATCCAACTTCTTGTCCGCTGTAACCCCTAGGTCCTTTTCTGCAGCACTGCTGCCGAGCCATTCGGTCCCGAGTCTGTAGCGGAGCATGGGATTCTTCCGTCCTAAGTGCAGGACTCTGCACTTGTCCTTGTTGAACCTCATCAGATTTATTTTGGCCCAATCCTCCAATTTGTCTAGGTCCCTCTGTATCCTATCCCTACCCTCCAGCGTATCTACCACTCCTCCCAGTTTAGTGTCATCTGCAAACTTGCTGAGGGTGCAATCCACGCCATCCTCCAGATCATTAAGGAAGATATTGAACAAAACCGGCAGCAGGACCGACCCTTGGGGCACTCCACTTGATACCGGCTGCCAACTAGACATGGAGCCATTGATCACGACCCGTTGAGCCTGACAATCTAGCCAGCTTTCTATCCACCTTATACTCCATTCATCCAGCCCATACTTCTTTAACTTGCTGGCAAGAATACTGTGGGAGACAGTGTCAAAAGCTTTGCTAAAGTCAAGGAATAACACGTCCACTGCTTTCCCTTCATCCACAGAACCAGTTATCTCATCATAGAAGGCAATTAGATTAGTCAGGCATGACTTACCCTTGGTGAATCCATGCTGACTGTTCCTGATCACTTTCCTCTCCTCTAAGTGCTTCAGAATTGATTCCTTGAGGACCTGCTCCATGATTTTTCCAGGGACTGAGGTGAGGCTCACTGGCCTGTAGTTCCCAGGATCCTCCTTCTTCCCTTTTTTAAAGGTGGGCACCACATTAGCCTTTTTCCAGTCATCCGGGACTTCCCCCGATCACCATGAGTTTTCAAAGATAATGGCCAATGGCTCTGAAATCACATCCACCAACTCCTTTAGCGCTCTCGGAAGCAACACATCCGGCCCCATGGACTTGTGCATGTCCAGCTTTTCTAAATAGTCCCAAACCACTTCTTTCTCCACAGGGGGCTGGTCACCTCCTCCCCATGCTGTGCTGCCCAGTGCAGTAGTCTGGGACCTGACCTTGTTCGTGAAGACAGAGGCAAAAAAAGCATTGAATACATTAGCTTTTTCCACATCCTCTGTCACTAGGTTGCCTCCCTCATTCAGTAAGGGGCCCACACTTTCCTTGACTTTCTTCTTCTTGCTAATATACCTGAAGAAACCCTTCTTGTTTCTCTTAACATCTCTTGCTAGCTGCAACTCCAGGTGTGATTTGGCCATCCTGATTTCACTCTTGCATCCCCGAGCAATTTTTTTATACTCTTCCCTGGTCATTTGTCCAATCTTCCACTTCTTGTAAGCTTCTTTTTTGTGTTCAAGATCAGCAAGGATTTCACTGTTAAGCCAAGCTGGTTGCCTGCCATATTTACTATTCTTTCTACACATCGGGATGGTTTGTCCCTGTAACCTCAATAGGGATTCTTTAAAATACAGCCAGCTCTCCTGGTCTCCTTTCCCCCTCATGTTATTCTCCCAGGGGATCCTGCCCATCAGTTCCCGGAAGGAGTCAAAGTCTGCTTTTCTGAAGTCCAGGGTCCGTATTCTGCTGTTCTCCTTTCTTCCCTGTGTCAGGATCCTGAACTCGACTATCTCATGGTCACTGCCTCCCAGGTTCCCATCCACTTTAGCTTCCCCTACTAATTGGACTTGTTACATCCAGAGATGGGAGCAGGATGAATCAGTGAGTGCCCAGCTCTGACAAAAGTGCCGGGTATGGGTGGGGCTGGCTTGCTGCATCTTGAATTCCCCCCTGCCTGCTTTCATTGTAATGTTCCCTCCTCTTCTCTCTGTAGGGTGACTCCGGGGGCCCACTGGAGTGCAAGGGGGTCGCCCAGGGCATCGTCTCACATGGGAAACCCAGTGGCCTCCCACCTGCCGTATACATGCGGATCTCTGCATTCATCCCTTGGCTCAGGAAGAAGATGGGCAGGGAGTAGCTGCACAAAGAGAGCAACGGGCTGCCAGCTGCTCTGCCATTCCGCTGCCTTCGCTACTTCTGGGGAGGGGATGCTGCTGCACTCATCTGATCTGGGGGCACCCCCAAGCCAGCCAGTCCTCGCCTCACCCTGGGGTTGGATGGGAGCCGGCACCCCCTAGAGGGGACAAGGCCCATGCCCCATTCCTCACCTCTGCCTCCTGAGACAGCCAGTCCCCCCTGGGGCTGGATCAGAGCTGGCGCTCCCTAGAGGGGAAACACTCCATGTCCCCATTCCTCACCCCCCTGAGTCAGCCAGTCCCTACCTTGGGGCCGGATGGGAGCCAGCGACCCCTAGAGGGGAAAGGACCCTTGTCCCATTCTCTTCTCTTTTGTTCTTTGGCATGAAAACCTTTCTCTGTAATGTGCTTGATGAAAACCAGCAACGTTCTCTCCTCTGCGAGTCCAAGCCACGGTTTGCAATGCAATAAATGGCTTTAAGCAGCAGCTGGTGCTGGTGTCTGGACTCCTGAGTCTTTCTCTGAGTGGAACAGCTGTCCTTGGGCGGCCCCCCTATCATCCCCAGTGTCTCAGGAGGCCCCTTACAGCCGGGACACAACCCTCTTCTCCCCTCTCCTTCACTTGGTCCATGATGCCTTGCAGCTGGAATTCACGGGACTCCCTAGACTGGATCCAAGGCAGTGGCTATCTACCCAGAGTCCTGTTTCTGACAGTAGCCAGCATCAGAGGATGGTGGTAGGACCCCACAGTAGAGAGTGATGGGGTGTGACACCAGGACTGTGGTGTTTGCAGAGAGGGAGACAGCATTTACAGTGGCCGTTTGGGGAGAAGGGTTCAGCTGGGGAGAGGCAAGAGAGAACTAACTTAGATGGTTAGAGAGAGCTCAGGGTGGAGACTTTCAAAGACCCCCCTAGGGTGGAGCAGCTATCTCAGGCCCCTCTGCAACATGGGAAAATGGATATTATTACAACAGCACCAATATTGGGGTACACCATTGTGCTAGGCACTGCCCAGACCCCGACGGAGATCAGGGTCCTGTTCTGCCAGGTGCTGCACAGACCCCGACGGAGATCAGGGCCCCTTCGTACCAGGCACTGCACAGACCACAACCGAGATCAGGCGCTGCCAGGCGCTGAGAGGAGAAATTGTCTTGCTGAAGGTTACACAGAAAGTCAGTGGCAGAGCTGAGAAGAGAAACCAAATGTCTTGACCCCCATCTGGTGCCCCTTGCCACAGGGCCGTGCTGCCTCTCGCTTTTTGCCCATGGTTGTGAGCTGCCAGAGTTTTGTTGGAAGAAGGTGGGGGGGGGCAAACTCCCATAATTCCCTCAGCTGTATCCCAGAACTGGTGCCATTTCCAAACTGAATGGGGGAGCACTGTTCTACTCTGTCTTCTAACTAGTACAAGTGGGTCTCTTCTGTTCTATTCCCTCTCTCATACCCATGCCCATCCCTGTGGTATCTGGGCTTCCCAAAGTCCCTTCAATACCAGTCCGTGTCCATCCCACCTGATTCTGGATCTGTGAGGGGCTCCTCACCCTTTGGAGGTGCTTTCTGTCCATGGACCTCCAGCTGGGCTAGACAAACCCATCACAGCTGAGCCAGCACCCTTAGCTCCGCTCCAGATGTGCACAGCTGCAAGGGGCACAAGATCCCAGTTAGGTTCAGCACCAGCTGTGGAGCAGGTGACCCAGCTGGGCTTCTTCTTGCCCCATGTGCTGTGAGTTTCCAGGAACTGGTGACTGCAAAAGTCACCCTGCTGCAGCAGCTGGGGCTGGAGACGGGATCTGGGGTTAGATGGACCTCGGGGTCTAAGCTGGTCTGACAATCCCTATGTTCCTGTTTAGATGAGCCAACTGAGTCCCTGGCACAGGATCCAGGGTAAGACTCTCAACCTGGTCAACGCCATTTGGTCCCCTCTGAACACAGCCAATAGAGTCAATGTCTCCAGGGCTCCCTCTGTCCTGTGCAGCCTGGACCTATGCAGGCTTTGGGGGAGGGATAGCTCAGTGGTTTCAGCATTGGCCTTCTACACCCAGGGTTGTGAGTTCAATCCTTGAGGGAGCTATTTAGGGATTGGGGCAAAAATTGGGGATTGGTCCTGCTTTGAGCAGGGGGTTGGACTAGATGACCTCCTGAGGTCATTCTATGATTCTATGATTCCCCATCCTCTCCGGACATCCTCGTGTCTGTCTGTGCTCTACAGACCCATAGTGTCCTACCTGTCCCTCCATCTCTGCACTGAGCCTGGTGTCTGAAGGCAGATACTAACAAGGCCATGTCACTGGCTGACATTAGCCACACTGCCCACTAGATGTGCGGATGGAGAAGGGGGGGTCGGTGCAAGCTCCATCCATGGCTCAGCTCTGTCCCAGACGTGCACAGTTCCAGGCAGGGCTGAGCTGGGCCAGTGCCCAGATGTTCTGCTGCCCCAGCTGTGGAGGGCACCTGGCTGCCGTGAGACAGGCAACGTATGTCTGTGAGCCTGCGGCTCCTGAAGGTGCCAACTGGAAACCGGAGCCCTCCTAGTGAAAGACTGGGATGGGGAATGAGACCCAAGGATCCGGGACAGCATCACTAGGGGACCCTGCACCTCCCAGCCCCCAGACGGAGGGATCTGGGACTGAGGTCTGTGGCACGACAGTCACTGTTGTCACAGGGTGACAAAGTAGGACATTTCTGTCATATTTTAATGACTCCCAGACATGCCTCCGTTTCCCTGTGCACTTTGCATTGCTGCCCAGTGGGGCACCCACCTGGCTCCTGGAGGACTGCAGGAGCCAGAGGTGTGGGTGTCCCTTGGCTGTCTGGAGGGGATGGCTGGGTCATTAAAGAACTGATTGAAACTGCCCCAAATCACCAGAGGATCAGGAAAGAAAAGGAGACCCCCCCCCGCAAAGACTGAGCCATTGACACCTGCCCACAGGAAGCCCTGGAGCATGTGAACTCAGCCCGAGAAGAAGGGAAAAGGTATCAGGGGATGGGAAAGGGCCTGTTCTCTGGAGGGAGTCAGCAGCCCCCCATGGGGACTAAGGACAAAGAGCCAGAAATGAAGTTCAGCCCCCTTTGGCTGGGCCGTGGCACTGGCAGGGCCGGGATGAGCCATGGCTTCACCTCTGCCTCTCCAGGCTGACCTAGGGATATCCAGGTGATGAAGCTATAAGGAAAGTGCAACCCTGCCTCCATCCCACCATCCTGATCCCCGTCCAAAGCCCCCACCCCATTCCCTGATCTCTAGATCCTCCCATTACCTATTCCTCCCAGATCCCTCCCTGACCCCGCCCCCATGAACCCCTCTCTCTCCTGCTCCCTTCACTCTCCTTGTACCTGCCCCACCCCCATCTCCCCAGACCTCCTCCCTACCCCCCACCCCAGCTTCCTCTCCCTCCCACCCCTGCCCCCGGGCCCCGCCCTCTGCACGGGCCCTGGGGCTCTGAGCCTGGCCACTGGCCGCGAAGGGGTTAACCAGGGGCTTTGTCAATGTCCTGGGAATGGGGCGCGGGCCCTTTAAATCCCAGCCCCTCTCCTTTCCCCGCTTCCTTCCCGGCCCAGGAAGCTGCGCATGCGTGTCCGGGCCTGGAGAGCCGTGGGCCAGAGAGTCCCTCCACGCGCATGCGCGCCCATCTGTGGCCATGCGCGTGCTAGTGGGTGAGTGGAGCGCGCTGCAGGGGCCGGGTATGGGGATGGTTGGGTGGCAGGGGACAGCAATTAAGCGAGGCGTTAATTGCAGGGCTAATGCGGTTGTGCGTGTTCCCCAGCGCCTGGGCTTGGATGTGCATCCGGTTTGGGAGCTGAGCTCCACCTAGCCGCGGGGAGATGGGGCTGGCACTAAATCTCCCCTCCCCCCCGTAAGGCTTCCTCATGCACCAGGGCGCTGGGGTGAAATGGGGCTGCAGTCAGGAGTGAGGGGCACCGGCAGAGCTCGGGAGGCAGGGCTGGGCTAGCAGGTGGCTGCGGGTCGGGAGTGGGGGCACTGGCAGAGCTGGTGGGGAGCCCAGGGTTGGGCTGGCAGGGGGCTGTAGGTCGGGAGTGGGGGCACTGGCAGAGCTGGTGGGGAGCCCAGGGTTGGGCTGGCAGGGGGCTGTAGGTCGGGAGTGAGGGGCACCAATCCTTGAAAGTGTCTATTTAAATCAGGAGGTGGGACCGGCTTTGTGGGCGGAGCCTTGACCCAGCTGTTGAGGAGCCGAGGGCACGAGGTGACCCATGTCTCTCGCCGTCTGGGGCCAGACCGGATCAGCTGGGTAGGTGATTGGGGAAGGGGGGTGACTCCAGGATAATTGGGCTCATAGGAGCAGCCACAGAGGTGCAGGGGGTTAGGAGCCCAGTGGCCCAGGTTTAGGTTCGCTCCCCGTCCTGGGAATTAGTACTCAGCCCTAAGACTCCAGGCTGGTCCTAGTGGCATCGCTCCAGCTGTTCCTCCCTGGGGGCTGCCAACTGATGTGCCTAGACTACTTCTGCCCCTGTTTTCGCTGCCAATTTAGGACTCCAGAACCCTGCCTGGTTTTGCCAGACGCGTATGTCGGTTACAAACACAGACACAGGTCTCAACCATGTCCCACAAACAGCAGGCTTAACTGAAAGCAGCTTAAGAAATGTTCTTGTCTCTAACAATCTCTAACAGATGCCCAACTCCCAATAGGGTTCAACCCCCAAATAGATTATGAGTTTACCCTGTGTAAGCTTTATACAGGGTAAACTCATAAATTGTTTGCCCTCTATAATATTGATAGAGAGAGATGCACAGCTGTTCCCCCTCCCCCCCCAGGATACATGCTCTGGGTTAATTAATAAATAAAAAGTGATTTTATTAAATACAAAAAGTAGGATTTAAGTGATTCTAAGTATTAACAGACAGAACAAAGTGAATTACCAAGCAAAATAAAATAAAACACACAAGCCTATGCCCAATACAGTAAGAAGCTGAATAAAGATAAAATCTCACCTTTATGTTCCAACAAGCCTCTCTTACAGACTAGTCTCCTTCTAGGCTGGGTCCAGCAATCACTCACACCCCTTGTAGTCACTGTCCTTTGTCCCAGTTTCTTTCAGGTATCCTTGGGGGTGGAGAGGCTATCTCTTGAGCCGGCTGAACACCAAATGGAGGGTTCTCCAAGAGGTTTAAATAGACTTTCTCTTCTGGGTGGACACCCCTCCCTGCCCCTGTGTACGATCCAAAAGCTACAAAAAGGAGTTTTGAAGTCACATGGGCAAGTCACATGTTCATGTGTGACTGAGTTCCTTACCGTCCAAGCCAGATTCCTGGGAAAGCTCAGATGTGGATTGGTGCCTCCAAGTTCATTGTTTGCTTAAGTGTTTCTTGATTGGGTACTTCCTGAGAATAGTCTTTTCTCAGGAAGCTGACCAACTGCTTCACTGAGGCTGCTTAAAATTAAACAAGTAGATAGCCAATATTCATAACGTTGAATACAAAAATCATACATGCATACAAATAGGATAAATATATTCAGTAGATCATAACCTTTACAGAGATATGTTACATGGCATATGTAGCATAAAACATATTCCAGTTAGGTCTTATATACATTCAGAAGCGTATTCCCATAAAGCATTATGGGGTGTAACGTCACACTCCTATTGTGCTGGGTTATATCAGAGCCATCTACCCTCACGGTCCAGGGCACAGCCTTCAGGGATCAGGAAGGAGCTGGCTTAGTGCAGCAGAGCAGGGTGAGATTAACCAGGGGCATATGTGAGTGAGGGGCTGGTCCAGGGTATGAGGGGAGACTGGACTGGCTTGGTTTAGGGGCTCAGTAGGGGCAAGTGGGGAGACTGAGCTGTGTTGAATACCATTTCTCTCCTGTCTCCCCAGGATGAATTGGCCCGCTCCGGCCTGCCCCCTTGTGATGCTGCGGTGAACTTGGCTGGTGAGAATGTTCTCAACCCCCTTCGCAGGTGTGTCCGGAGCTTTGGGCGTGCTGGGGGAGAATAATCCCTGTAACAACCCATATAGCGTCCCTTCCGTGAAGGACAGAAATGGGGATGACTCGGTCTCTCCCTGTTCTCCTGTACTACCCATAATGCAGTGGAGGTGGGGCAGGACGGAAGGGTTGTATTTTGCAAGTTGGGGATGAATTGGGGTTGAAACATAATTGTCACTAGGAACCTTTCTTCTCAGAGGTCTTGTTTTCAGGGGGAAGCATTAGGAGAGTGCACTAGTGGGGTATAAAGAGTGTTGCCCAATGTCTGGCCTGTCTTGTGACACTGATGCCAGCAACCCCATCACACCTACCCTAGGCACCCACCCAACTGTCTCCCACATAGTGGAACCAGCACCTTCCAATCACCCAACTGCCATCCCCCAAAACTCCCAGTTCCCCCCACTCTCCCTGAGACAGGGAGCCTTTTTCACCTACTTCTGGGTAGTGTGTGTGGGAGAGGGTCCTGCCTCCCATTGCTCTGGGGCATGGTGATTTGTGTCGCTCCCCTGTACTGCCTGGGGGAGGGCAGGGGAATGGGTGGCTCTCCTTTAGGTACTGCAGAGGGGGCTTGGTCAGAATGTGAAACTTCTGCTAGGAAACTTTCTCCTCCCGGGTCATTATTTCTGGGGGAAAGTTTAGTGGGGTGCACGGTACGGTATAAATAGCTGCTTGTTGGGCTGGGATTGGCAGAGGAGAATGGGGGGGGGGGGTGATTGGGCATCACCCCTTTGTGCTCTCTCCACCTGCAGGTGGGATGATCCCTTCCGCAGGGTTGTGGTCACCAGCCGGGTGGCGACCACCAAGACCTTGGCCAAGGCCATCGCCGAGGCCGAGAGGCCGCCCCGTGCCTGGGTCCTCGTCACTGGCGTAGGTATTTATTGTGCATGGCCAGAGTGCAACTCTCACCATCCTGTCCCATGGTATCCCCCCACCAGGTGGAAATAGTCCCTGGGAAGTGACCAGGAAGAGTGTGGCCTCTGGAGGTTACTGGGCTGCTGAGGGGACAGGAGAAATAGTCCCTAGGTGCAGCACAACCTCCCATAACAGCATTGTGTCCGCCTGCCACAGAGAGGAAATAGTCCCTGTGGTGCATCCTCGTTGCACAGCTTTCGCCACTGAGAGAAAATAGTCCCCATTCATGAGAGGACACATCACAGCACCTTGTGGAACAATTGTGCTTCCACCATTGCACAGAGGAAAAATAGGCCCCGAGGAAAAATAGGCCCTGGGTAGAGCACACATTGCACATCCTTCCGCACCTGAGCGGATATACCGTCCCCCCTCTAGTGCAAGACAAAGTGCGGCCCTGTGTGGCACTGGTGTTCTTCCACCACTAGGGAGGAGGGAAAATTGGCCTGGGGTGCAGCACAGTCTATCATGACACATTGTGATCCTTCCGCTGCAGAGAGGGGGAAAAATAGTCCCTCCTCTTGTCCTTGAGGTACAAAGCACAACTCTGGTGACACTGATGTTCTTCCACCATTGGGAAGAGATGGAAAAATAGTCCCCTGGCCAAATAAAACCTCCTGTGGAACTGTGTCCTTCCACCACCGAGAGAAGAAAATTTGCTTTGTAAGAGAATGGAGCCCAGCCCCCATGACATCAATGCGCTTCTGCCATTGGAGCAGGAGGGAAAATAGTCATGTTCCTCCCTGTCGCCAGGTGCAATTGCTGCAGGAGAGGGAGGGATATCAATGAGGGGTAGGGCTATGTGCACTGTCAGCACTACAGTTCCCTGCCCATTGCCCGGCAGGGTATTACCGCCCCAGCCCCACGGCTGAGTACACTGAGGAGAGTCCCGGCGGTGACTTCGACTTCTTCTCGCGCCTGGTGAGCGCCTGGGAGGCAGCGGCTAAAATCCCCGGGGACGGCACGCGCCAGGCGGTGGTGAGATCTGGTGCGTCGGGGCATGGGGCCTTTCCCCTCAAGGAGCACCAGATGCTATCTGACCTCATGGCAGAGACTGGCTGGCTCGGGGTGGGCAGGGCATGGGGCCTGTCCCCTCTAGGGATCACTGGCTTCCATCTGACCTCAGGGCAGGCACTAGCTGGCTCATGGAGGTGGGGAATGAGACACGGGCCCTTTCTCCTCTAGGGGATGTTGGCTCCCATCCGGCCCCAGGGTGGGTACTGGCTGGCTCAGGGGGGTGGAGAATGGAGCACGGGGTTTTTCCCCTTGGGGGCACTGGCCCCAAGGCTGGCTTCGGCTGGGAGACTGTGGCTGGCTTGGGGAGGGAGGCATGGCTGGCTGTCTCCAGGGTCTCTCTCTGACTTTCCTCTTCCTGCAGGTGTGGTGCTGGGGAAGGGCGGAGGCGCCGTCTCCCAGATGCTTTGGCCTTTCCGGCTGGGCCTGGGGGGCCCCGTGGGCTCCGGCCTCCAGCCCTTCCCATGGATCCACGTCCGGGACGTGGCTGGTGTTGTGTGCCATGCTCTGGAAACGGAGGGTGTCCACGGGGTTCTCAACGGGGTCTCCCCAGCTTCACCTAGCACCTCCAATGCCGATTTCGCCCGGGAGCTGGGCTCAGCCCTGGGGCGCCCGGCCCTGCTGCCCCTGCCCAGCTGGGCGGTGCGGGGCGTCTTTGGCGCTGAGCGGGCCGTCATGCTGCTGGAGGGCCAGCGGGTGGCGCCAAAACGCACTCTGGAGAGTGGCTACTGCTTCGTGTACCCCGACCTGCCCTCTGCCCTGCGGGACATTGTGTCCTGAGCGGCTGAGGGGGGGTTGATCCAAGTGCCCTGAGGACCCTCCTCTTCTGGGGAATCACCCCAGTGGGAGCCTCACCCCCCCCCCGAGACCCCTAATCTCTGGCTCCCACAGCCCAGCTCTGAGCTTCCCAGCTGTCTTAGCCTGAACTTTGTGGGGTTCATCATGAGCCATCCCCAGTATCCCTCCAATACTCCCCAGCCTCTTGCTGGGGGTCACCCCATTCTTAGCCTCCCCAGCCCCCTTCTCTGAGTGGGAATGCTCCCTTCTGAGCCCCTCCAGAAATCACCCCTCCCCAGCCCTTCTCGGGGGGGGGGGGCACCCCACTGTGACTTTCCTGCCCTACCCCCATCTGTGCTGCACTGACTGTGTGTTCAGGTGGTTTTCAAGCTCCTGGTCCTTTATGGAGCTGAGGTTCTGTAGCAATGGCTGCTGGAAATTGCAGTTTTTGGCTGCACTGCAGCCCCCCCTCCCTCCCACCCTGTATACAACCTTGTCCAGTTTGCAATAAACTGCTGGTGAGTCAATCGCTGTTGTTTGCAGGGAGTGGGGGCAGGGGGAGGGAGGTCACTAGGTCGATGGTGGTGCTTAGGGCTGAGGGGGGGATTCATAGGCTGCACTGTCCTCATACAGTCAGTGCTGACCCCAGTTGCGTGCAGCTCCCAATACAGTGGGACAGACCAGGCAGTGAATGGGACCCAGCTGTCCAGGAGGATAGTGCAGGGTGCTCATCCTTAGGGGGGGCTGATAGGTCGTAGGGCGGGGAGAGGGAAGGGGAGCCAGGAGTCTGGGAGGGCAATGCAGGGCCTTTGCCGCTAGGGGGGGTCTCATGGCTCTTAGGGGAGGAATGAGGAAGGTGCCTCGGAACAACCATGGGGCTCATGTACAAGGTGAGAGGGCTGAGTCAAGTGGAGATGAGGGCTGGCTGGGCTCTGGGGACCAGACAATAGCTTCCTGGCCGGGGGTGTGGGTCTGGGTACCCCAGTGTGGGGCTCTTTTGGTTATTCCTGTGTGGGCATAACAGCCTCCATGCAAGTGGTTGTACCGCTATAACTGTAGAGGTGAAATTGCATCTCTGACCCAAATAGTTATGCTGCCACCGACTCTGGCTGTGGTTCTGGCCTTGTTTTCATGCCTCAGAAAACAATGGAGAAGGCGTGCCAGAATGCTGCCCGTGTAATATACAAGTGTTGATCTGTTCCTTTGGAACACCTCGGCCGACACCTCTTTGAACTGTCCCCGGCGTCTCTCACTGTCCCTTGTGTGTTTCAGTTCGCTTTTGCTGATGGAAATTTCTGCTGGCATCATTGTTTTGTGGAAAATGTATATTCCACAAATCCCCATTTTCCAACAGGAAACCATGGTTCAACTTTTTTCCTCACTGCCCTAATGTAACAGTAAGCCATGGGGTAAATAATGAAAGGCTTAGTTCCTGCAGACAGGCTGCATTCTCCTCTAGATCTCTATGCAATCATTCCCCCTGGCAAATGAGTGCTCCACTGTGCATCAAGGGGACTGTGCATATGTAGTCCTGAGTTTATCCCCCACCCCAGAGGCTGTAATTACACATAGTGAGTGTCTCTCTTTGACTTGAGAAGAGAGCCAAAGCTCAAGGCCTAGCCAGTTGTTTCCATTAGGGGTATTTTCTGGGATGCACTCTAGTTTATTTCCAAAGATAATCCATCAAGTCCTCTTTCCCTGAACACAGCTGCAGTTAGTGCTTCCGTTTGCTGCTCCAAACCAGCCCTTCCAGCTGGCGCCTCTGTTACTGTCTGCTTGGCCTTCTCTCTGCCCCTTCTCCCTCGTGCACAGACAAAACCTGTATCACCAAGCAAAGCCCTAGCCCCTGCCTGGGAAATCTATTGAGCTGCTTCTGCTCTAGCTTTTCTATGTGCCTGTGTTTTGGATTCTACTGCTGTTGTGTCAGCCACTCAACTGCAATGGCTTCTTTACATTGATCCTGCATGAAAGGTAATGCCCCACCCATCGCTACAAGGTTTAACGATGGGACGATCGAAGTGCTAGAGGAGTACTCAAGGAAGACAAGGCTATTGCAGAGAAGCTAAATGAATTTTTTGCATCATTCTTTACTGTAGAGGATGTGAGGGAGATTCCCACACCTGAGCCATTCTTTTTAGGTGACAAATCTGAGGAACTGTCCCAGATTGAGATATCATTAGTGGATGTTTTGGAACAAATTGATAAACAGAAATAAGTCACCAGGACCAGATGGGATTCACCCAAGAGTTCTGAAGGAATTCAGATATGAAATCTTAGAGCTACTAACTGTGGTATGTAACGAATCAATTAAATCAGCCATACCTGATGCCTGGAGGATAGCTAATGCAACACCGATTTTTTTTTTTTTTTTTTTTAAGTCTCCAGAGGCAATCCTGGCAATTACAGGCCGGTAAGGCTGACTTCAGTACCAGACAAATTGTTTGAAACTATAGTAAACCACAGAATTATTACACAGACAGATGAATATAATTTGTTGGGGAAGAATCAACAAGGGTTTTAGTAAAGGGAAATCATGTCTCACCAATCTACTAGAATTCTTTGGAGGGGATCAACAAGCATGTGGACAAGGGAGATCCAATGGATATAGTGTACTTGGACTTTCAGAAAGCCTTTGACAAGGTCCCTCACCAAAAGCTCTTAAACAAAGTAAGCAGTCATGGGGTAAGAGGGAAGGTCCTCTCATGGATTGGTAACTGGTTAAAAGATAGGAAACAAAGGGTAGGAATAAATGGCCCGTTCTCAGAATGGAGACAGGTAAATAGTGGTGTCCCCCAGGGGTCTGTATTGGGACCAATCCTAGTTAACATAATCATAAATGATCTGGGAAAGGGTAAAGAGTGAGGTGGCAAAGTGTTAAGATGATACAAAATTACAAGGGTAGTAAAGTCCAAAGCAGACTATGAAGAATTGTAAAGGGATCTCACAAAACTGGGTGACTGGGAGGAAAATGGCAGATGCAAAGTAATGCACGTTGGAAAACATAATCCCAACTATACATATAAAATGATGGGTTCTAAATTAGCTGTTACCACTCGTATAGTTCTCTGTAAACATCCACTCAATGTGCAGCGGGAGTCAAGAAAGCTAACAGAATGTTGGGAATCATTAAGAAAGGGATAGGTAAGACACAAAGTATCATAATCATAGAAGTATAGGACTGGAAGGGACCTTGGGAGGTCTTTTATTCTAGTCCCTGCACTCAAGGCAGAACTAAGTATGAAGTATAATCTCAATATAAATCCATGATATGCCCACACTTTGACTGCTGCATGCAGTTCTAGTCACCCCATCTCCACAAATGGATGGGAAATTAAAAATGCAGAGAAGGGCAACAAAAATGATCAGGGGTATGGAACAGCTTCTGTTTGAGGAGAGATTTTACAAGGTTGTAACTGTTCAGTTTAGGATGACTAAGGGTGGAGATATGATAGAAGTCTATAAAATTGGGAATGGCGTGGAGAAAGTGAATAAGGAAGTGCTATTTACCCTTTCCCATAACACAAGTGTAATATGAAGAGAGAGCCTGAATCATGGGGCCTGGTACAAGGCCTAAGGCCTGAACTAAAGTCAGGCCCTATTACAAAGCAGAGGCCTTCTTGAGGGGTCACTGTCCGGAACAGGAACATGGCTGGTGTTGTAAAAACACACGCATTGCTAGGCACTAAGTATTCATGTAAACACATTCCAGGAGGGTGGTACCAGAACACCCCGATAGCTAGTTTTGGTGGAAACACATGCCCCAAAGATGATATAGGGACACACTGACCCTTCTTAAAGATAAGGTCAGGCTGACAGGGTGATGGATAGAGATGTTTTGATCAAGTTAATTGTAACTTGTAACAACAGGTACAAGGAAAAGGGGGGTAACTAACTACATCAGAGGGTCAATACATAGCTTGTTTGTATCAGTGCATAAAGAGGGGTCACAGAGGGGGTGTCTGTCCAGCGGAGGAGGGAATGGAAAGTCCCACTGCTCACTGAGCTGGTCCATTGTAACATGCATGCATGTATTAGTGTACTACAGGACACAGATACCGTGCTTTTTCGGCAATAAACCTGTGTGGATGCCTTTGCCACTGCACTGAGTCTGTGGTCTCCTTGGGCAGTTCAACTGGAGGCTGCTCTATGGGCTACCTGTCCAGAGACTGTGCAGCATGCAGAGAGAACAGACACGCAGCCAACAACTGACACCAACAAGAACTAGGGGTCACACAATGAAATTAATATGCAGTAGGTTTAAAACAAACAAAAGAGAGTATTTCTTCACACAAGGCACAGTCAACCTGTGGAACTCTTTGCCAGAGGATGTTGGAAAGGCTGAGTGTATAACAGGGTTCAAAAAGAATTAAGTTTATGGAGGATAGGTCCATCAATGGCTATTAGCCAAGATGGTCAGGGATGCAGACCCATGCTCTGGGTGCCCCTAGCCTCTGACAGCCAGAAGCTGGGACTGGATGGCAGGGGATCACTCAATAATTGACCTGTTCTGTTCATTCCCTCTGGGGGACCTGGCATTGGCCACTGTCGGAAGACAAAAAGAAAAGGAGTACTTGTGGTACCTTAGAGACTAACAAATTTATTTGAGCATAAGCTTTCATGAGCTACAGCTCACTTCATCGGATGCATTCAGTGAAAATACAGTGGGGAGATTTATATACATAGAGAACATGAAACAATGGGTGTTACCATACACACTGTGATCACTTAAGAGTGATCACTTAAAGTGAGCTATTACCAGCAGGAGGGCAGGGGGTGGGGGAGACCTTTTGTAGTGATAATCAAGGTGGGCCATTTCCACTCCCAGTTTGCAAATTAATTCCAATTCTGCAGTCTCTTGTTGGAGTCTGTTTCTGAAGTTTTTTTGTTGAAGTATTGCCACTTTTAGGTCTGTTACTCTGAAACCTGACTTTTAGGTCTGTAATCCTTTATGTAGAGACGACCCATCACTCTCACAGATCTTGGGAGGCAGGCCAGTCCTTACTTACAGACAGCCCCCCAACCTGAAGCAAATACTCACCAGCAACCACACACCACACAACAGAACCACTAACCCAGGAACATATCCTTGCAACAAAGCCAGTTACCAACTGTGTCCACATATCTATTCAGGGGACACCATCAGAGGGCCTAATCACATCAGCCACACTATCAGAGGCTCGTTCACCTGCACATCTACCAATGTGATATATGCCATCATGTGCCAGCAATGCCCCTCTGCCATGTACATTGGTCAAACTGGACAGTCTCTACATAAAAGAATCAATGGACACGAATCAGACGTCAAGAATTATAACATTCAAAAACCAGTCGGAGAACACTTCAATCTCTCTGGTCACTCGATTACAGACCTAAAAGTGGCAATTCTTCAACAAAAAAACTTCAAAAACAGACTCCAAGGAGAGAGTGCTGAATTGGAATTAATTTGCAAACTGGATACAATTAACTTAGGCTTGAATAGAGACTGGGAGTGGATGGGTCATTACACAAAGTAAAACTATTTCCCCAAGTTTATCCCCCACCCCCACCCCCCACTGTTCCTCAGACGTTCTTGTCAACTGCTGGAAATGGCCCACTTTGATTATCACTACAAAAGGTCCCTCCCCGCCACCCGACCCGCTCTCCTGCTGGTAATAGCTCACCTTAAGTGATCACTCTTGTTACAGTGTGTATGGTAACACCCATTTTTTCATGTTCTGTGTGTACATAAATCTCCCCACTGTATTTTCCACTGAATGCATCCAATGAAGTGAGCTGTAGCTCATGAAAGCTTATGCTCAAATAAATTGGTTAGTCTCTAAGGTGCCACAAGTCCTCCTTTTCTTTTTGCGGATACAGACTAACACGGCTGCTACTCTGAAACCTGTCGGAAGACAGAATACTGGGCTAGATACACCTTTGGTGGGACCCCATGTGACCATTATGTTCTTACCCCCGTCCCCATCAAGGAGCTAGTTTCAAATGAATGGGGTACTAGGAAGCCACATTTCCCTGGTGCCTCTGATAGTCTGGACCTGAAAACGATGGGACATTGTCTTTTCACTTAAACTGAAAATAACTGAACTCTTGCCCGCCCCCCCCCCCCCAAAGGTCGCTGTTGTGAACACCTGAGGACAGCATTTGGGGTGCTGGGAGATAAAATGATGGGGAAAGATCATGCTTTGGAAAGCCACATGGCAACAGCTGTGCAACATCTGAAGCTCAGCACAATTGGGCTTGGTATTTCCAATCTTTGGTGCCTGAGTTACTGGAAGTGTTTCCCCTCTAGGGGATGCTGGCTTTTGATCCCAGGGCAGGGGCTGGCTGGCTGAGAGGGGCAGGGAGTGGGACAAGGGGCTTTTCCCCTCAAGGGGGTGCAGGCTCCCATCCAGCCCCTGGGCAGGGACTGGCTGGCTCAGGGGAGCGGGGAATGGGGCACGGGGCCTTTCTCCTTTTGTGGGCACCAGCTCCCATCTGGCCCCAGGGCAGGGGGCTCTCTGGCTCAGGGGTGGGGGAAGGGGAATGGGACATGGGGCCCGTCCCCTCTAGCGGGCGCCGACTCCCATCCTGCCCTACAGCAGGGATTGGCTGACTCGTTGGTGGGGGGTGGGAAATGAGACATGGGGCTTTTCCCCTCTAAGGGGCGCTGGCTCTGATCCAGCCCCAGGGCAGAGGGCTGGCTGGCTCGGGATGCTGAGAATGGGACATGGGGCCTTTCCCCTCTAGGGTAACTGTCACTATTCCAAGGGATAATTTCTGTCCTCCCCTGGCTCTCCTGTTGACGTGAGCTGTGGGTAACACTGATCAGTATCAGTGCCTGGTGAAACAAAATGTCTTGAACCAACGTGTGTGTGATAGAGGGTGTGTGTAGCTCTGATATCTAGATACCAGTCTCTCCCCCCCCTCACTCCCCGGACAGTGTGTACGTGATGCCCAGGGTGTCTCTGACCCTCTCCTACCACAAACACATGGTCAGAGCCGGAAACCTCCCCTGCTCCTGCTGTCTCCATTGGGTTTATCAGGCCTTTCTCCTGGGGTGGGGGTGGGGTGGGGGAACTCAGGTCAGCAACACCTGCTGTAGCTACCAGCAGGGTCCAGCCAGTGGGTGGGCTGGGGAGACGGGTCTAGAATTGACCTACAAGGATCTAGTTGGCTTTAGAGTGGCTGTGCATTGATCTAGAATGGCTGTTTGTGTGGATATGGATAGATCTAGAATGGAACTGCCTCAATCAAAATTAATCTAGCCTGAATTTACATGGATTTAGTTGGGCATTTATGCATCTAGAACGGATCTGCAATGCATGCAGGTGGTGACGCTCCAGTCTACATGTGTCTGGATGGATCCATCCTGCCCCCTCATCCATCAGACATCCCAGCTCCATGACAGGGATCCAAAGCGAACCATTGGGATGGGTGAGGTTGGACTTTGTCAATAGGTGTTTGATAAAGGAGGGGAATATCCTTAATGACATGGGTTTGTGGAGAACAGGCTATGTTCAGTGACCCTGCTGTCATCCTTGAGGGCCGGTAAGAGTTTGGTAATATCTGCAGAGGACACAGAGGTTGGTGGTAAAGAACAGGGAGGATGTCTCATGGCTACAGACCTATCTGGGTGGCCTGGTGAGCTGGGTTCAATTAAACATGGTGGAAACTGACCCAGCATGAGCTCCCAACACAAAGCGGCAGTAACCGTCCATGGGAATATAAACCAGGGGATATCTAGTAGGAGCAGGGGGAGGGGGTCACCTCTGGACATGGCCTTGGTAAGACTGCCAGGAGACTATATCCAGCTCTGGTGTCCACCCCTCAAACAGGACGTTGACAAGTTGGAAGGAGCAACCAGAGCAAGTCAAGATCTGGAGACCTGGCCTGGCAGGGAGAGCTCAAAGGGGATTGATCTCCTGAGGTGATCGGAGGCAAAGAGGGGACTCGGCCCTCATCTGTAGGAACCTCGGTGGGGTGGGGGTTTCTGTGCTCTTCGACCTCCCTGGCCAAAGTGGGACGAGACTAGGCGGCCAGCATCGGAAGTCAGTGAAGATCCAGTTGGTGCTAAGGTGCAAATGCTGGCTTTGAAATGGAGAGGCCAGGGAATCTAGGTGCAGAAAACCCCAAGTCCATTTCTCACATTCATAGCGGGGTGTGTGTGTGTGGGGGGGCAGCATTAACCACATCCCCAGCCAGGCTGGCTGGGCACCAGAAGCAGGGAGGAAACCCCTCCCCCCGATGTGGGCATGGCTGTGACTTCTCCCACGGGCATTTCCACCCCATGGCCCATCCAGGCAGGGGTTTCCAGGCAACCGGGTACATGCCTTTGTGGTTGCCAGGCCCTGCCCTCCCTTCCCCTCCCCTCCCCTCCGCAGGCCTCGTCCATATAACCTCCACGGCTGAGGCAGATGCTTCGTGCCTGTCCCTCGTTGGCTCTGAGGATGCAGCTCTTGATCCTGGTCCTACTCCCTGCGGTCTTTCTCCTGCCCCCTGGGGCTCAGGCTGGTGAGGACAGAGGTGCGGCATCGGGACCCATGGGGAGAAGAGGGGGCAGATTTAACCATCAGTCCCAGAGGACCCTTGGGTCCAAAGTGGGATCAGGGGGAAGGGGATCCCCAGAGATCAGGGATGGATGAGTGCACAGTTCCAGGTGGGAATCCATAGATGTATAGTGGGATGGGGATAGAGTGAGGGGTCAATCCAGGGAGAGGGGAGGGGAGAGCTGGGGTGCTGAGGGGCTGATCTGGAGAGGAGGGAGTGGGAGGCTGGGCTGTTTGGGTCCACAGGCCGATCAGGGCTGATGATTAGGGGTAGGGTTGGGTCTGGGGTCCTTGGTTACACTCTTCAGACACAGGTTGTCTCAGATCATGTGATTTTAACCCCTTCCCTTCTCCCTGCCAGGGGAGATCATTGGGGGATGGGAAGCCCGGCCCCACTCCAGACCCTACATGGCCTATGTGAAAATAGCAACGCGGAGAGGGGGGAAAACATGTGGGGGGTTCCTGATTCGGGACGATGTGGTGCTGACGGCGGCTCACTGTAACAACGAGCAGGGGTAAGAAACCCATCCCTCCCCTCCCACCCCTGAGCTGCTCAGCCCCCGACCCTGGGGCTGGATGAGAGATGGCAATGTGCAGGATGCCCAAAGGGAGGAATTAATCTTTATCGGGTGGGCTCTGACTCAGCTAGGTGGGACAGGGAGCCCAGATCTAGGAAAGCAGATAAACAGGGAGATGGCAAAATTTGCAGATGATACAAAATTACTCAAGATAGTTAAGTCCAAAGCAGACTGCGAAGAGTTACAAAGAGATCTCACAAAACTGGGTGTCTGGGTAAGAGAACAGCAGACAAAATTCAATGTTGATAAATGCAAAGTAATACACATTGGAAAATATAATCCCAACTCTACATGTAAAATGATGGGGTCTAAATTAGCTGTTACCACTCAAGAAAATGACCTTGGAGTCATGGTGGATAGTTCTCTGAAAACATCCACTCAATGTGCAGCAGCAGTCAAAAAAGCTAACAGAATGTTGGGAATCATTAGGAAAGGGATAGATAATAAGACAGAAAATATCATATTTCCTCTATATAAATCCATGGTACGCCCACAGCTTGAATACGGCGTGCAGGTGTGGTCGTCTCATCTCAAAAAAGATATACTGGAATTGGAAAAGGTTCAGAAAAGGGCAAATAAAATTATTAGGGGTATGGAATGGCTGCAGTATGAGGAGAGATTTATAAGACTGGGACTTTTCAGCTTGGAAAAGAGAGGAGTAAGGGGGGATATGATTGAGGTCTATAAAATCATGACTGGTGTGGAGAACGTAAAGGATGTGTTATTTACTCCTCCTCATAATACACAAACTAGTGATCACCAAATGAAATTCATAGGCAGTAGATTTCAAACAAACAAAAGGAAGTATTTCTTCACAGACGCATAGGCACCAACTTCTCCTGGCACCAGTGGGTGCTCAGTGACCACCCCTGCCCTGGCCAGCCTCGACTCCACCCCTGCCCCACCCCCATTCCAACCCTCCCCCAAAGTCCCTGCCCCTACTGGACCCCTTCCCCAAATCCACACCCCGGTCCCGCCTCTTCCCCGCCTCCTCCCCTGAGCACGCCGTTTTCCCGCTCCTCCCCCCTCCCTCCCACAGTTTGTTACACCACGAAACAGCTCTTTCATGGCGGCAAGCACTGGGAGTAGAAGCGGGGACGCGGCATACTCAGGGGAGGACGTGGTGAGCTGGGGCGGGGGTTGGGACGGGGAGCTGCCAGTGGGTGCAGAGCACCTACCACTTTTTCCCCTTGGGTGCTCCAGCTCCGGAGCACCCATGGAGTTGGCGCCTATGCACAGACGGCACAGTCAACCTGTGGAACTCCTTGCCAGGGGTTGCTGTGAAGGCCAAGACTATAACAGGGTTCAAAAAAGGACTAGATAAATGTATGGAGGATAGGTCCACCAATGGCTATTAGCTAGGATGGGCAGGTATGGAGTCCCTAGCCTCTGTTTGCCAGGGGCTGGGAATGGGTGACAGGGGATAGATTACTTGATGATCACCTGTTCTATTCATTGCCTCTGGGGCACCTGGCATTGGCCACTGTCGGAAGACAGGATACTGGGCTAGATGGACCTTTGGTCTGACCCAGTATGGCCGTTCTTATGTTCTTAGAATGTCACGATCCCCCTAAGGCCCCATGGTTTCCCCTTAACTATTCTAGACACATCACCGTCTCCCTGGGAGTCCATGACCTTAGACTGCGGGAATGGAGCCAACAAGAAATCCCTGTGCTTCACCGGATCCCCCACCCGGAATATGACATGCATTCCCTTAACAACGACATCATGCTGCAGGTACCGGCCCCCCACATCACCCCACCCCCAGTGACCTCACACTGCTGCAGGCACCGCCCCATCCCATCACCCCGCCCCCAGTGATATCACAATGCTGCAGGTACCGCCCCCATCCTATCACTCCGCCCCCAGTGACCTCACACGGCTGCAGGTACCACCCCCATCCATCCTCCTACCACCAGTGACCTCCTGCCATGCATTGGCTGCATTTGCTTTCTCCTTGGATTGGTCCATCCATGACTCTGACCTTCTCATTGACCATGAGCCTTGTGTCCTGTCTTTGCAGCTGGTGCACCGAGCGAGGCTGAACAAATGTGCGGGGCTCATCTCCTTGCCCAGCGCCTGGCAGGGCGTGTGCCCCGGGGCCATGTGCAGCGTTGCTGGCTGGGGTCGGACGGGCGCCCGCAGGGCAAAGGGCTCACACGTTCTCCGGAAGGTGGACATGCCAGTGCTGGAGGATTACGTGTGTCTGAGGAATCCTGACCAGATCTATCATTACTATAACGCCTCCACCATGCTTTGTGCAGGGGATCCGAAACAGGCCAAAGACTCCTTTAAGGTAAACATTCTCCTGGTTTCAAGAGGCCCCGGTTCCTTCTGAGGAGCAGTGACTCTCTTGGGATTGCAGCTGGGCCTGTGAGCAAAGATCAGAGCCCAGCCCCCCTGTGGTGCTAGGCACTGTACAAATGAATAATAATTCTTCTCCCGGGAGGAGGGAGAGAGCAGCTGGGTTTGGGGGTGGAGCCCACTGAGACTGGTTGGGCTGGGGGAGGAGGGGGCAATGCTGAGACCAGCTGTGCCAGGGCAAGAAGTGTGGGTGATGCTAAAAGTCGCTGAGCTGTATGTCAGGACTTGAAGAACAGCGGGAAACAGACCTGTCAAATTGTTCTCATCACCTGCTTCTTGTTTTAATTCTCAGGGTGACTCCGGGGGCCCCCGGTGCGCAGCAAAACAGCCCAAGGCATCGTCTCTTGGGGCTCCCTCAATGGGACCCCCCCTGGGGTGTACACCAGAATCTCCAGATTCGTCCCCTGGATCCTGGAGACCATGAGAATGCTGCAGCCCTGAGCCCTGCTGGAAATTCCTGCTTGTGTTGCAACTGGGCCTCTGGAGACGCCCCGACATAGGATCCACTTTGCAAAGGGCCTGCGCCCCCCGCACCCCCACCCCTGCCGTCAGGCATTGCTCTGCTCAGGGGAGCCATGGGCAGCACTCAACCCATTAGCACCAAGGCTGGGTGCCTAGAGGTTAAAGTCCAGCTCCTGTCGGCTCCCTTAGCAAGCCCAACCCAGGCTCTCAAGCTAGGGAAGCAGGTGGTTTGTCTCCGAGCCGAACCCTGGGGCTCACCCAGCGGTTTGTACCTCACCCCAGCCAGTCAAGTGACGGTTCGGGGGAGATCCTCGTCCTTACCCTGCCAGCTGAGTCATATTGGAACCACACCCTGCCCTGTCAGTGCTCGGGCTGTCCTCCGTGTTTGTTTCCCCAGGCTGGCTACCTCCCGTTCCAAACCCGGCTGGTCCCAGTGCCGCCGAGGCCCCCTGGAGATCGGCGACGGGAACTCCACGCTGGCACCCGTAGCCGCTTTCCAGCAGCCCTGCCCCGCTGCGCATCCACGCTCACTGTGCTCGCTGCTCCCTAGCCTGGCCATGAAGAAAAGAAAAGAAAAGAAAAGAAAAGAAAAGAAAAGAAAAGAAAAGAAAAGAAAAGAAAAGAATGCTGGTGCTGGGCCTGAAACTTCCAGGGCAGCCTCGCCTGCCGGAGCCACCGCTGGGTCGCCGGGGCTGGGGAGGGAGTTCACCCCGACAGGGGAAGGCTGGGACCTAGGACACCTGGGTTCATTGGTTCCTGCACAGAGGGAGCTGGAGGGTGTCGGGCAGGAGGAGCCCCACTGGCTGGGCCCGAGATGTGAGGGGAATTACCAGGAGAAAAGCAGCCTAAGCTGTCCGGACTCGAGCTGGCAGGGAGCTCTGTGCACGGGCCGGGGCTGGGGTCCCCACTCTGTGGGCTGGCTTAGTGCTGCCCTGGGCTCAGGGGGCATGCGGGGCGGTGGGGGGTGAGAGGCTATGGCCAGGCTGCACCTGCGCCCCAGCTGATCGTGCTGCAGGGCCCCATCGGAGGTGTGTGATGTAGGGCATCCCTCAGGATGCTGCAGCCTCCTTCGGGGGCCAGGCTGGGATCGCCGCGGCTCACTGAGGGGTTGGCTTCTGGGACAAACATGGGACAGGATTGACACAGTCTCTTCTAGCCACGAAAAACCCATCTATCCCCATCCCCATCCATCCCCTATCTATACATCTCCATCTATCTATCCATCGGCATCCATCTATCTATACATCCCCCATCCCCATCCATCTATCCCCATCTGTCTATCCCTATACACACCCCTCTGTCCACTGCTATCTGTCATTCCCCCTCCCCATGCTATGTCATCTCTAGGAGGCACCAGCCCCAATCTGCCCCCAGGACAGGGACTGGCTGGCTCGGGGGAGCTGATAATCAGAGACACTGTTTCCCCCCATTGTGGGGGTCTGTGGGCAGTGGGGCAATCACAGATGGGGGGATCTGGTCTCTCTGACCTACATCGCTTCCCCAGCTCACATCCACTACACAGTCCCTCACTGGGAGCTCATGGTCAGCTGACTATCTGCCCCAACCCCAAGGGTTTTTCTGAGTCACTGCGTCCCAGGATTGAGTCTCCCATCCCGTGCATGTGGCCGACATCCTGGATGTTGCATTTATCTCTGGCCATGGGAAAATGCACGTCGTTTGCCTCAGCCCAGTTTACCAAACTCTCCAGATTGCATCACTGACCCATCCTCACGATTTACCACTCCCCTCTCTTTTGTGTCACCTGTAACCTTTACCAGCGATGATTTTATTTGTTTCTTCAATGTCATTGATAAAAACGTGTTCATTATCCGAGGGCTAAGAATGGTTGGATGCAGCCCAGGAGGTGCCGAGCCCCAGAGTATTTCAGATTTCTCTAGAAAGGGGCCCCAAAAGCTCCAGTGCGAACGGTCCAAAGGCGTGTCTCGGAAATGCCTGTTGATCTCTGGGCCAATCCAGTTCTCACAAAGCCATTATGAAAGATTCACACATCCTGGCCGTGGCCCATTTTTAAAGGTATAATGGCCCATTAAACCGAAATCCCTAGGGGGACTGGAAACTTGATGTTGCAGATGGTTAGGGATAGATGTGGGTGCTGCCACCGAAATTCCCTACAGATGTGGAATCATAGAATCATAGAATCATAGAATCATAGAATATCAGGGTTGGAAGGGACCCCTGAAGGTCATCTAGTCCAACCCCCTGTTCGAAGCAGGACCAATTCCCAGTTAAATCATCCCAGCCAGGGCTTTGTCAAGCCTGACCTTAAAAACCTCTAAGGAAGGAGATTCTACCACCTCCCTAGGTAACGCATTCCAGTGTTTCACCACCCTCTTAGTGAAAAAGTTTTTCCTAATATCCAATCTAAACCTCCCCCACTGCAACTTGAGACCATTACTCCTTGTCCTGTCCTCTTCCACCACTGAGAATAGTCTAGAACCATCCTCTTTGGAACCATCTCTCAGGTAGTTGAAAGCAGCTATCAAATCCCCCCTCATTCTTGTCTTCTGCAGACTAAACAATCCCAGTTCCCTCAGCCTCTCCTCATAAGTCATGTGTTCCAAACCCCTAATCATTTTTGTTGCCCTTCGCTGGACTCTCTCCAATTTATCCACATCCTTCTTGTAGTGTGGGGCCCAAAACTGGACACAGTACTCCAGGTGAGGCCTCACCAATGTCGAATACAGGGGAACGATCACGTCCCTCGATCTGCTCGCTATGCCCCTACTTATACATCCCAAAATGCCATTGGCCTTCTTGGCAACAAGGGCACACTGCTGACTCATATCCAGCTTCTCGTCTACTGTCACCCCTAGGACCTTTTCCGCAGAACTGCTGCCTAGCCATTCGGTCCCTAGTCTGTAGCGGTGCATTGGATTCTTCTATCCTAAGTGCAGGACCCTGCACTTATCCTTATTGAACCTCATCAGATTTCTTTTGGCCCAATCCTCCAATTTGTCTAGGTCCTTCTGTATCCTATCCCTCCCCTCCAGCATATCTACCACTCCTCCCAGTTTAGTATCATCCGCAAATTTGCTGAGAGTGCAATCCACACCATCCTCCAGATCATTTATGAAGATATTGAACAAAACCGGCCCCAGGACCGACCCTTGGGGCACTCCACTTGATACCGGCTGCCAACTAGACATGGAGCCATTGATCACTACCCGTTGAGCCTGACACTCTAGCCAGCTTTCTACCCACCTTATAGTGCATTCATCCAGCCCATACTTCTTTAACTTGCTGACAAGAATACTGTGGGAGACCGTGTCAAAAGCTTTGCTAAAGTCAAGAAACAATACATCCACTGCTTTCCCTTCATCCACAGAACCAGTAATCTCATCATAAAAGGCAATTAGATTAGTCAGGCATGACCTTCCCTTGGTGAATCCATGCTGGCTGTTCCTGATCACTTTCCTCTCATGCAAGTGCTTCAGGATTGATTCTTTGAGGACCTGCTCCATGATTTTTCCAGGGACTGAGGTGAGGCTGACTGGCCTGTAGTTCCCTGGATCCTCCTTCTTCCCTTTTTTAAAGATGGGCACTACATTAGCCTTTTTCCAGTCATCCGGGACTTCCCCCGTTCGTCACGAGTTTTCAAAGATAATGGCCAATGGCTCTGCAATCACAGCCGCCAATTCCTTCAGCACTCTCGGATGCAACTCGTCCGGCCCCATAGACTTGTGCACGTCCAGCTTTTCTAAATAGTCCCTAACCACCTCTATCTCCACAGAGGGCTGGCCATCTCTTCCCCATTTTGTGATGCCCAGCACAGCAGTCTGGGAGCTGACCTTGTTAGTGAAAACAGAGGCAAAAAAAGGATTGAGTACATTAGCTTTTTCCACATCCTCTGTCACTAGGTTGCCTCCCTCATTCAGTAAGGGGCCCACACTTTCCTTGGCTTTCTTCTTGTTGCCAACATACCTGAAGAAACCCTTCTTGTTACTCTTGACATCTCTTGCTAGCTGCAGCTCCAGGTGCGATTTGGCCCTCCTGATATCATTCCTACATGCCCGAGCAATATTTTTATACTCTTCCCTGGTCATATGTCCAACCTTCCACTTCTTGTAAGCTTCTTTTTTATGTTTAAGACCCGCTAGGATTTCACCATTAAGCCAAGCTGGTCGCCTGCCATATTTACTATTCTTTCGACTCATCAGGATGGTTTGTCCCTGTAACCTCAACAGGGATTCCTTGAAATACAGCCAGCTCTCCTGAACTCCTTTCCCCTTCAAGTTAGTCCCCCAGGGGATCCTGGCCATCCGTTCCCTGAGGGAGTCGAAGTCTGCTTTCCTGAAGTCCAGGGTCCGTATCCTGCTGCTTACCTTTCTTCCCTGGAGAGAGGGATGGGAAGGGGCTGGTTTCCCAGCCTCACATTTTCCCAAGCGGTGGATTTGAACCCGTGTCCTGTCTCTCTGCCGGGGGGATCGTCGGGGGACCGGAAGCTGTGCTCCACTCCAGACCCTACATGGCCTTTGTGAAGATGGAAAGATGCTTCGAACCCGTGAATACCTGCGGGGGGTTCCTGATCCAGGAGGATGGGGTGGTGATGGCAGCTCACTGTAGAGTGAAGGGGAGGTAAGGACCCGTCCCCTGCCCCGCTCACCGGGGGATCAGCTCAACCATTCAGGGCCTCAATTCCCAGTGATGATGTTGCTCCAGCCAGCCAGCTGGTCCAGTGCCATCACAGGGCCATGGATCAGCTGAATCCCATGCACCAGGGAATACCTCAGCCAAGTGGATACCAGGCAGCCTGGCACTCCCTATAGGGGAAAGGTTCTGTGTCCCATTCCCTGCCCCCCTGAGCGAGCCAGTGACCTCGAATTCCCCCGAGTGCGATGTGTCTTGACTATGGCATTATTCAGAAGAAGTTCAGAGCTGGTCATTCCCATAGCAGTCACAGTGTCAAGAAGCCCTGGGCCACCCCGTGACTGCAGCACCGAGATGTGGAGATCGGAGGGGCTCCCAAAGAGAGATCCAGCTCTTGGGGTGTGCTCGGCCCTGACACCTGGCTGGTTTCTGTGTGTCCGAGCAGCAAAGACACCGTGGTGCTGGGGGCCCACAACATTTCAAACAGCAAACCAAGGAGGCAGAAAATTAGAGTGAGATGCTGGATCCACCACCCCAAATATAACAAAACGGCCCCAAACAATGACATTACGCTGCTGCAGGTACCTCCCCAGTCCCATCACTCTGCCCCCCGTGACCTCATGCTGCTGCAGGTACCTCCCCGCTCCCATCACCCTGCCCCCAGTGACCTCACGCTGCTGCAGGTACCTCCCCTGTCCCATCACCCTGCCCCCAGTGACCTCACGCTGCTGCAGGTACCTCCCCGTCCCATCACCCTGACACTCTCCATTGCACTCTGGTCTGTTTATGTCTCCCTTGCATCCGACTCTCTTGTCCCTCCCACGGCAGCTGAGAAACAGGGCTGAACTCAATGACTGTATGGGCTGGATGAATGCACTATAAGGTGGGTAGAAAGTTGGCTAGATTGTCTGGCTCAACGGGTAGTGATCAATGGCTCCGTGTCTAGTTGGCGGCCGGTGTCAAGTGGAGAGCCCCAGGGGTCGGTCCTGGGGCCGGTTTTGTTCAATATCTTCATAAATGATCTGGAGGATGGTGTGGATTGCACTCTCAGCAAATTTGCGGATGATACTAAACTAGGAGGAGTGGTAGATACGCTGGAGGGCAGGGATAGGATACAGAGGGACCTAGACAAATTGGAGGATTGGGCCAAAAGAAATCTGATGAGGTTCAATAAGGATAAGTGCAGGGTCCTGCACTTAGGACGGAAGAACCAAATGCACAGCTACAGACTAGGGACCAAATGGCTAGGCAGCAGTTCTGCGAAAAAGGACCTAGGGGTGACAGTGGACGAGAAGCTGGATATGAGTCAGCAGTGTGCCCTTGTTGCCAAGAAGGCCAATGGCATTTTGGGATGTATAAGTAGGGGCATAGCCAGCAGATAGAGGGACGTGATTGTTCCCCTCTATTTGACATTGGTGAGGCCTCATCTGGAGTACTGTGTCCAGTTTTGGGCCCCACACTGCAAGACGGATGTGGATAACCTGGAGAGAGTCCAGCAAAGGGCAACAAAAATGATTAGGGGTTTGGAACACATGACTTATGAGGAGAGGCTGAGGGAACTGGGATTGTTTAGTCTGCAGAAGACAAGAATGAGGGGGGATTTGATAGCTGCTTTCAACTACCTGAGAGATGGTTCCAAAGAGGATGGTTCTAGACTATTCTCAGTGGTGGAAGAGAACAGGACAAGGAGTAATGGTCTCAAGTTGCAGTGGGGGAGGTTTAGGTTGGATATTAGGAAAAACTTTTTCACTAGGAGGGTGGTGAAACACTGGAATGCGTTGCCTAGGGAGGTGGTGGAATCTCCTTCCTTAGAAGTTTTTAAGGTCAGGCTTGACAAAGCCCTGGCTGGGATGATTTAATTGGGGATTAGTCCTGCTTTGAGCAGGGGGTTGGACTAGATGACCTCCTGAGCTCCCTTCCAACCCTGATATTCTATGATTCTATGACTGGGTGCAGCCCATCCATCTGCCCGACCCCTGGCCAGAAGCACCCGTTGGCACCAGGTGCAATGTGTCTGGGTGGGGCCGGATGCAAGTTAATCCCCCTAAGTGCTCGGACGTGCTGAGGGAAGTGGCTCTGGAGGTGATGGCTGACGACGCGTGTGAACACAATTTGACCAAACCATATGACGCTGAGTCCATGATCTGCGCGGGGTATCCCAGAGGCAGGAGAGCCGCCCTGAAGGTAAAGATCCTGCCGGCCGGGGGGCGGCTGCTTTGGTATATTCTCTGGGAGCGGGGAGCGCCAAATTCAGATCTCCAGTGCTGAGGGCATGGAGGGAAGGTGTCATTGGGCTGGGGATGGGGTTGGGAGGACTGTGAGTGTGACAGCGACGAGAGACGCACACAAGGCATTACTCCTCTGAGGCATGTTTCATTTCACAGGGTGATTTGGGGGGGCCCCTGGTGTGCGACAGGGTGCCCCAGGGCATTGTCTCATGGGGGCCGAGCAACGGGGCCTCTCCTCAAGTGTATGCAAGAGTCTCCCGGTTCGTCTCCTGGATATGGACAGTGATAAAACAGCTGAAGCCCTTAGATGCTCCTGGAATCTCGTCTCGGGCCTGAGCTACCCAACTCCCACTGGTCCTGAGGCTGAGCTCGGGGGTCCTCTCACCAGGGATTGTGGGTGGAAAATGTAACTCTCTGGACCTGGGAGCCTTTCACAGCTGCTTCGCCCTGCTGCAGATGTCACCATGTCCAGGGCCGTCCTTATGCAAAGCACGCACCAAATTTCCTGGTGCCCTGTGCAGCTGTATGCTGCTCCAGCTCTTCCCCAGGGCCTCCGCCCTGCCTCTTCCCGCCCTGCCCCGCCCCACCCCTTCCCCACACCAGCCCAGCCTCTTCCCGCCTCTGCTCTGCCCCAGCCCCAGCCCCGCTCCCACTCCCCTGAGCTCTGCAGCCGGGCTGGGCCTGCACTAATCGGCAGCAGAAGTGCAGCGACCTGGCCTCAGCTGCACCATCGGTGAGTGCTGGGGGGTGGTTCCCCCTTGCCCCTCAAGCCAGCCCCGTCCCTCCCCCCTGTGGAGGCCTGGGGTCTGCCCTCCCTGGGGTCTGCCCTGCCTGGGGTCTGCCCTCCACGGAGGTCTGAGGCCCGACACCCCCCCCCCCCCACGGGGGTGGGGCTGCGTAGGGCCCCAGAATTGCTAGGGATGGCCCTGACCATGTCCCTTGGTCCATCCTCTGCTGGGACTGAACTGGATCGCTCAGCATCAAACACACATTCCTCTTCCTAACAGACCAGACTGATTAGTTCAAAGACTGGAGGCCGGAGGGGGCGGGGGTCAGGTTGGAATGTTCCACCCCAATCATTTTTCAACAGAAAATGTCCTAGCCACAAAACTGAAACTTTTCTCAGGGAAATATCCATTTTTTTGCCATTTCCCAGCCTGGTTTTCCACCAGGAAAGACTCAGCGAAATAGCTTGTTTTGGCTTCAGTCAACTTGAAACAAAACATTTTGGGGCAGCCAAATTGCACTGATTCATTTGGTGTCTGTTCAGCAGTGATCTGTGTCCCTGGCACATCCGCGGTGCCCTCCCTGTTAAAAATTTGCACCTTATTCCCAGTCCTAATTTGTCTAGCTTCAATTTCCAACTATTGGTTATGTTAGACCTTTCTCTGCTAGATAGAAGAGCCCATTGTTAAATATTTGTACCTCATGTAAATACTGACAGACTGTGACCAGGTCACTCCTGAAGCTAAATCAGTTGAGCTCCTGGAGTCTAGCAGTATAATGCATCTTTGAAGAGCTGGGCTCCTGGCTGGATTACATCTCCCATAATGCTCAAGTAATGATGGAGGGCACGTGACCAGGCTGCATCATAGGAAATGTAGTCCAGCTGGGAAGCCCAACCTGTAGAGGTGAATGGGGGCACGAGGGACCTGAACTACAGCTCCCATGAGGCACTGCAGTAGCTCAAGAGGACGCAGCCGAACATAGAGCCAACCTGAAATAAAATGTGCCAGCTGTCCTGGACAGGAATACTTCAGAACATTCCCTTTCAGAGTCCAGTATTCCCCCAACTCGGGAGGAAGAGGAGAAATATTGACATATCTCATGGCAGGGAGTGTGCAAAGCAATGGCCAGGTGGTTTGGAGGAACTGTCGGGGACGTCTCAGGGGTCTGGGTTTTGACTCAATTTAAGATGGAAAATCTTGGTAAAAGTCGACACTGACTCATTGAAAATAGCCACTGTGACTAAACCACTGTTTCCAGCTGTTTGATGTGCCTGTTTCTGATCAGACCTGGGTATCATGGGGACCTGCCGGGTAGTGGAGAATCAGGCCCTGTCAGGGCTGTACTGAGCCGGGAGCTTGCTTGTTTGCTAAGAAATTACCCAGTGATGTGCTGGAACCAAATGCTGGAACCAAAGGCTAAAGAGGATCTTAGGGATAATGGTAGCATGACAAATGGGAATGAGGATATGGAGATAGATATTACCATATCTGAGGTAGAAGCGAAACTCGAATGGCTTAATGGGACTAAATCGGGGGGCCCAGATAATCTTCATCCAAGAATATTAAAGGAATTGGCACATGAAATTGCAAGCCCATTAGCGAGAATTTTTAATGAATCTGTAAACTCAGGGGTTGTACCTTATGACTGGAGATTTGCTAACATAGTTCCTATTTTTAAGAAAGGGAAAAAAAAATGATCTGGGTAACTACAGGCCTGTTAGTTTGACATCTGTAGTATGCAAAGTCTTGGAAAAAATTTTGAAGGAGAAAGTAATTAAGGACATTGAAATCAATGGTAAATGGGACAAAATACAACATGGTTTTACAAAAGGTAGATTGTGCCAAACCAACCTGATCTCCTTCTTTGAGAAAGTAACAGATTTTTTAGACAAAGGAAACACAGTGGATCTAATTTACCTAGATTTCAGTAAGGCATTTGATACCGTGCCACATGGGGAATTATTAGTTAAACTGGAAAAGATGGGGATCAATATGAAAATTGAAAGGTGGATAGGGAATTGGTTAAAGGGGAGACTACAGCAGGTCATACTGAAAGGTGAACTGTCAGGCTGGAGGGAGGTTACCAGTGGAGTTCCTCGGGGATCAGTTTTGGGACCAATCTTATTTAATCTTTTTATTACTGACCTCAGCACAAAAAGTGGGAGTGTGCTAATAAAGTTTGCAGATGATACAAAGCTGGGAGGTATTGCCAATTTAGAGAAGGACAGGGATATCCTACAGGAGGATCTGGATGACCTTGTAAACTGGAGTAATAATAATAGGATGAAATTTAATCGTGAGAAGTGGAAGGTCATGCATTTAGGGATTAATAACAAGAATTTTAGTTATAAGCTGGGGACGCATCAATTAGAAGTAACGGAGGAGGAAAAGGACCTTGGAGTATTGGTTGATCATAGGATGACTATGAGCCGCCAATGTGATATCGCCATGAAAAAAGCTAATGCGGTCTTGGGATGCATCAGGCGAGGTGTTTCCAGTAGAGATAAGGAGATTTTAGTACTGTTATACAAGGCACTGGTGAGACCTCACCTGGAATACTGTGTGCAGTTCTGGTCTCCCACATTTAAGAAGGATTCAATTAAGATTGAATTCAAACTAGAACGGGTACAGAGAAGGGCTACTAGGATGATCCAAGGAATGGAAAACCTGTCTTATGAAAAGAGACTCAAGGAGCTTGGCTTGTTTAGCCTAACGAAAAGAAAGTTGAGGGGAGATATGATTGCTCTCTATAAATATATCAGAGGGTAAATACCGGAGAAGGAGAGGAATTATTTAAGCTCAGTACCAATATGGACACAAGAACAAAAAGATATAAACTGGTCACTGGGAAGTTTAGACTTGAAATTACATGAAGGTTTCTAACCATCAGAGGAGTGAAGTTTTGGAATAGCCTTCCAAGGGAAGCAGTGGGGGCAAAAGATCTATCTGGCTTTAAGATTAAACTCGATAAGTTTATGGAGGAGATGGTATGATGGGATAATATGATTTTGGCAATTAATTGATCTTTAAATATTCATGGTAAATAGGCCCAATGGCCTGTGATGGGATGTTAGATGGGGTGGGATCTGAGTCCCTACAGAAAATTCTTTCCTGGGTATCTGTCTGGTGAATCTTGCCCATATGCTCAGGGTTTAGCTGATCGCCATATTTGGGGTCGGGAAGGAATTTTCCTCCAGGGCAGATTGGAAGAGGCCCTGGAGGTTTTTCGCCTTCCTCTGTAGCATGGGGCATGGGTCACTTGCTGGAGGATTCTCTGCTCCTTGAAGTCTTTAAAGCATGATTTGAGGACTTCAATAGCTCAGACATAGGTGAGAGGTTTTTCGCAGGAGTGGGTGGGTGAGATTCTGTGGCCTGTGTTGTGCAGGAGATCGGACTAGATGATCATAATGGTCCCTTCTGACCTTAATATCTATGAATCTATGCTCAGATCCTTGTTCATTTCTGCCCATCCACTCCCCACATCTGCCCCAGTTGGTTAATTTCATTCGCTGCTTTCTAGACCTACAATGAGTAAAACCAAAGGTACAAAAATCTAGTGTTGCCTCGCTGGGAATCGAAGGGTCTCCCTGAGCCTGGAAATCCAGAGCTGTCTCTCAAGCCACTCGGCATAACAAGGCTCTGGTTAGGGCCAGGACAGGGGGAGTGGGGGAAATTAACCCCCACCCCCAAAGGTCTGGAATAGCCCCCCGCCCGCTGCCCAAGGTGTCAGGGAACACAGGGAGAATTACAAGGAAAAGAGCTTTTTAAAAAAGAAAATCCTTTGACAAGCTACAGAGGGGCATAGAGAATGGGATTTCCAACTGGGGGGGCAGCCTGCAACCTGGCCCTAGGGTGGGGGGCTGGCTGGCTCAGGGGGTGGGGAATGGGACATGGGGCCTTTCTCCTCTAGTGGGTGCTGGCTCCCACCTGCCCCCAGGGTGGGGACTGGCTGGCTTGTGGGGGGGAGGGCTGAGAATCAGACACACTTTCCCCCCATTGGGGGGGGTGTCTGTGTGCAGTGGAGCTGTCATAGATGGGGGGCTCTGGTCTCTCTGACCCACATTGCTCCCTCAGCTCACACCCCCCCCACAGAGGGTGGGGGACAGCTGAGGAGGCCCAAGGGGCTGGGTTCTCATCAAACCCCAGCCCCCACCACAACACTGCCAAGCCGGGGCGAGGGAGATGTTTCAGAAAAAAACCCAGCTTCTGGAGTCGTGTGATTTTCAGTTAACAAGGCCGGTTCTAGCCCTTGGGGTGGCCCAGAAATGCCTGAAACCGTGACCCTGAAAGGTTCGGAAAAACCAAAATCAAAGAAACTGAAGGCAAATAAAAAAGACCCGAAAACTGATGTGTCATAAAAACTCTTGTGCTTTTAAAGAAAATCTCCAGTGTTTTTTTTCACGTGACTCATGATTTTTTAAGAAGTGGGGTTGGCCCTGCTAAAGTTCTCTGTGGTATTATTTATTAGGTGTATTACGGTAGTGTTGGAGTGTGGGGGCGGGGCAGTTATAGACCAGCCCCATATTGTGCTAGGGCCTGTACATTATTTATCAGGAGTATTACGGTAGCACAGAGGGCAGGGGCGGGGTCAGGGGACTCTGTAGGAGG